AATATGCACAGCAAGTCAGTAAACATGATGTTAGGAGGCTGATGACACTTTGTGTAAGACCGCCTCCAGTTAGATCAATCTTCACAATGATCATTTGCACTAGCAGCAAAGTTGCAAGACCTGCAGCCTTTCCTGTTTTCATATAAAATGGCATGTCTCTGTGCCTATGGGAGGAACCACCTCCATTTCCACTCTGCCTCCAATCCTCTTCATCAACCCAATGTGACCCTCACAGGAAAAGCTGCAAGCTGTAGCACTGTAATACTAGCCACCAGTCTCCAGGGAGGGAGTCCAGTGGAAGCAGAAAGAGAGAAGGACAAGGATGCTAAAGTTACATGGTTTCTATTTTTCTCTCATGTTCAATTGTTTTTTCTTACCATTATTTCCACGTATCAACAGGTAATTTCCATTTTATTTGTTTTCTAACGGATCCTATTAGATCCACAGTGCATGACTGCTGCAATAATAGTGTTTTTATTCATTCAAAAGAAAAAAAACTGCCTTTGAACAAAGTACTGTATAAGCATTTGCAGCCAAATGAAACTCTTTATGCATGCTCTGTTGGGTATCATTGGGGTATGTAGTAACACACACACCAACATTTCTTAGAAAGATAAAAACAAGGTTTAATTTTGAGAAGTTGTTCTGTGGCTTTGCCTCTTTCTTCCTTTTTCTTGCTTCAGTATATTTTTAACATTGTTCTCGCTCTCGTATTTTTTGTTTGTTTATATTACCATAACAACAACAACAAAAAAAGGCTCCATTGTTCAGGGCTTTTTATAGTCGCGTGGCACGCGCCTAACTCTGAGTCAACCTACTCAGAGTTGATTAAACCAACTCTTTTCAGCTGTTCTGAAACCGAAAACTCCAAGTTTTCCAACTCTGGGTAAGTCAACTCAGAGTTCAAACCTGAACTCTGAGTTTGTTAAACCTCCTTCTTGAAACGGGCCCCTGAGCAGCACTAGAGCATAAACATGAGCTTTTTTCATCTGCTTTTCTGCTTTTCTGTCTCAGACTCGAGGCATCAGAGCTGCAGAACATGTCATTTGAAATATCACTGTTTACTGTTTGTCTGACATGTTGTCTCTTCAGACTTGAGTACAGGCCTGTGCATTTGTATTTTGGCTCCAAAACTTCCACACTATGCAGTGGAATATTGCTGTCTAGCCATGGAAATGGCGCTGTGCCTAGTGCTGATTAGAGAGTTGTCTATAGCTGACTTGATGAGTTTTTACTGGAAAGTAAAACGTTGTCTCTTTCGACAGGACTCTGCTTCCTGCTATTTATTAGATCTGATCAGCTGTGCTGCACCATCTACCCTCCACCCTGACCCCCTCTTCCTATCACTCCTTTCTCTGTGCATTATGGTGGTTGGTGGGGTTGTCAGGTCTTTTATGAAGCATGGGGTGGCTGATGAGAGATAGCAGTGATACAGAAAGAGTTCTACTTCTCCTTATTAGCACTGAGGGGGGGTGCTGGAGGATGGAGGGCTTCAGAGGAAAAGGCAGAAGGATGAGGAGAGGGACTTGATTGCTCAGACATTAATGATACTGCTGGTTCTCCATAAGCAAATCACCTGCTACTACTACAAACGACTGTTTTCCAAATGCAAACTTTACATTTTCATATTGATCTTACCCACACCGTCACTGACATGCTGTACAGCTTTGGAAAAAAATATTAAGGAAATGTCTGGTTGCAACAAGTTAAGTTTAGTAGCATACTGAAATGAGCAGTTGGCACCTGGAAGGTAAGAAATCAATCTTAAGGACTTATGCAATGAAAGATGGTATACGTAGCATATGCAATGTGTGCAGTTTGTACTTCAAGCAAAGAAATGCAAATCCACCATTTTGGTCCCACTAATTTTTTCATATCCATGTGTTGTAATTAACTTCCAAGCTTTCTTGCATAAATGCCCAAACTGAAATGCACTTGCGCTCACAGATGCACATGGACTGAAACATCCACCTAATTTTACGTTAATGGGTCTAACGAATGTCTGTTCATGTGCAGCAGGTCACTGTAGGAGGCCATTGATAGAGGTAGTTAGATGTAATTTTTGCTTCGGCTACCACCAGACATTATTCTGTCTCTTTTCTGATGCCTTTCTGAGTTCCCTTCTGTCGTTCTCCTCTATTTCATCTGACCATCCTCTCTAATAAGGCCTGAATTTACCTCCTCTTAGTGGTCACACGAGGAGAGCAGAGAGGATGGAGGGATGCAGCCACAGAAGGGTGGAGGTTAGAAGAAAGATCCTAATTGGATGACATTTTCTGCCAGTGAAAAAAGAAGCACAAGACCCTGGGTCTAATGATGGAATGGGTGTCCATACACCACGAGACATTAGGTTTCCTCACGAGACACTGTGCTGTGTGCGTGCTGAACTCCTCCAGTGAGCTCTTGACAAAATGACTTGAAGATGACAAATATAATGCTAAGAATAGTCCTTTACAATTGATGTAATGGCTTTTAATTAAGTAAACCGATAACATAAATTGTAATGTTGGCGGCTTAATGCCAACTCTGGACTAGCGTATATCATGGGGTGATTTCTCGTACCTGTTTAGAGTATTCACTCCCTTTTGCAAGTTTCATGTTCACTGTCTTAGAACAGTGCTGATTTTTGATACCGACCTATTAATGTAAAAGAGGAAGTAGATCTCTACAAATAATTCTAAGTGGAGTACATATATAAATCACTTGTTTATGTGAGCATTTAGCCCTTTTGAGTCAGTATTTAATAGATAAACATTTGGTAGCTTTGTCTGTGCTCAAGCTCTCTCAGGTTGCATGGGATGGTGAGTAAATTAAGTCCAGCCACAAATTCAGTTGGATTGAGACCTGGACTCGGCCACTCCAGCACATTAAGATTGTTGTTTGGAAGTCATTTGGCTCATTGCCTTGCTGGAAAACAAATCTCCCAAGCTGCAAGTTTTGCTACAGACTGCATCAGGTATTCCTCTTCCTGTATATCCCTGTATTCATTTTACCCTTTACTCTCAAGAGCCTTTTGGGACCTGCTGAAAAGAAGCATTCCCAGCATGCTTCACACTGTGTTTTTGATAATATGCAGTGTAACATAGCATTTAGGTTTGGTCTCATAAGATCATGCAAATATTGCCCAGCTGAGTTACTTCCTTTCTTTCTTTTTCTGGCATGACTTCCTCTTTATGACTCTCCAAAAAAGCTGCAGTTGGTGATGCATCCGTCAGCTATTGCTGTGTACTCAGTGTTTCTAACCTGAAGCTTTTGCTATTGCTGTTACTCAGTGTTTCTAACCTGAAGCTTTTAACTCCTTCAGAGTTCTCGCTAAGTTTCTTGGCGACCTCCCTCACCAGTCTACTTCGTGCACACTCAGTCAGTTTTTAGGTACCATTTCTTTACTCATTTCTTAATGGCCGATTTGAAGGCAGGTTCGGTGATATAGAAACGTTCTTGTACCCATCTCATGACTTGTGCTGTTCTGTCACCGTTTTTACAAAGTTGATTGTCATTGTCTCGAAACTACTTGATTGCATCAATGATAATTGAGTTGTGTTCTAATGAATACTGCAAACATACTGTATATACACATTTGTAATTAATGCATTTATTATTGCACTTTACAAAGATCTCTGTTATTAAAAGGGTGTGTTGATCAGTGTTTAAACAAGCTACATTAAATCCCTCTTGATTCAGTGTTGTGAGACAGTAACACAAGAAAAATGTTTACTAGTTTATATGCACTATTTGTCTCATTACCTCAGATCAACTACAAACTCACACACAAATAGACATATGTACCTCTAATGCTACAGTCTGGATTTAATTTAAATGTTTACTGATATTCACATTTGTTAAACTTAGTTTATCTGGTACATGTGTGGAATGTGCAAATGCGTTAACAAAAAAGGCTCTTTTTGCTGCACATCAGTGGTTGATTGGATCCCTGCGGTGTATCTTTGATTAACCAGATAACAAGCTTAAGCAGCAGCTACAGAGACGGTCTGAGAAGCTCTGTCACTTGCTTTCTGCCGCCTCCTCTGTTCTTTAAAGACCACCACTCTCGCCATCTCTATTTCTCTCCAGACATCTGTCACTCGCCTCTCTTCTCCCTCACTACTATGCTGGTTCCCCAGTTTAACAAGCTGCCAAGGGACTAACATGAGAGTACACCCAGAAATTTGTTGCAGGGATCTAAACAAGGGATGAGTCATCCCCAGATGGCTCCATTTTCCATCTTCCCCTTTCAGAGTTTGACTTTTAGGAGCTTTAATTCCTGTCTCCACTTTTTATTTTTCTTCACCTGATGAATACTACAGATATTAGTTGTAAACACCACCACTGTCTTCATTCACTCCACGTCTGGCAAAACAGATACAGAGTCACTCTTTGAACATTTGAATGAAAGAAGAAACTTTTCTGCCATTATGTGCAAATGTGAGTCCTGTTACAGATTTTTGTCTGTTCAGTAGTAAACAAAATGCTTCTCTCCATATTTCAGTTATGGGATCTGTCACTTTCAAAGGATGATATGAATAGAACTATTTTGTTTTTCTCTATTTTACTGTAATGACAGAATTGTGCTTTGTTCATGTTTATTGGTCATAATGTCATTTGAAAACCTGTCACATTGTTGCTGACAGAAAACACACAGAGCAACGGTGATAAAGATGATTCACAGTACTTGGTCTTAAAATGGCCACCGGTTTCATGACTTAATGAGGATGCTTCCATCGACTTGTGAAGTTATAGGCCACACTAACTTTTACAAAGTTAATCACTAAAATAGTTGATAGTTAAAAGCTTCTGTAATCTAGGAGAGTGACTACTGGATTTACTTTGGTCAGGTGACAATAAATGAGAATCCAAATAAGTGATAATGATGCTCCATGTCTGCTGGAAGTGAATAAATGATATAAATAGTAATAAATGGACAGGCATCTTTATCGGCTTATTCATTACCTGTGGATTATAGGACTTGTGGTTAACCCTGTACCCGTCTTGTTTTTCTGCAGGACTTCCTCACTGATTTAATGATGTCAGAGGTGGACCGCTGTGGGGAGAACGAGCACCTCATCTTCAGAGAAAACACACTAGCCACAAAGGCCATAGAGGAATACCTCAAACTGGTGGGACAAAAGTACCTGCAGGATGCCCTCGGTGAGTGGAGCAGAGGCAGATGTATTTCAGTTTTTTGTGTTTGTCTGTTTCTAGATTGACCATTTTAGTATTTATCTTGTTACTGTTGGCTTGTATGTGCCCCTGTGGATCCGTCGGTCTTACCTGTGAGCTGCAGGAGGAAGAACAATGTAATGTATTTGCTCACCTTTGCCCCCAGCATATCTGTTTCCTGCTGTCATCTTCAGTCTCCTCTCTGAGCTTTGTCATTCTCTCATGGAAAATATTTAGGCAGCTGCAGTGTCGATAACTTTCAGTGTGTAAAGTACAATTAAGCAAACATTAATGGCAATGGAGACTAAAGGCCCCCTCCCTCATTTTGACTACAGCAGCACCATCTCTGTCATTTTAGTTTTTCTTTTAGAGGCTCATTGTGGACAACACGATAAAGACAGATGGCCCATCTGCTTCATCTGAAATTGAACTCCACACTGTAGCTCAGATAGGTGAATGAAAATATTCTTCTCTGTCAACACCGGTACTCAGGAGGAGCACTTCAAATGTAGACCCAAATGCAAGAGACGAGCAGAAGAAAAGATTTATCTGAGTTCACAGATGTTCTAAACATACAGGAATTATTATGGGGTTGTCGTTTGACCCCATACTATCACTTCTACAGTGTTAGTCCAAGGTTAGATCAAGTGTGTTTGTCCACCTACGGCCCTAACAATAAGTACTCAGTATGTACTGGATGCTTTTCTCCCTCACTGGTTCAGGCGGGTACACAGCGGTAGTTTACCGTAATCTACAAATGACACCCATCCTTCCTGGCACTGTATCCAGCTAATATTAATGCTCAGTGTGTTTATGTTGTTTTGTGTGTGTCTTTCTGGCTTTGTTTGCAACAAGAAATGCTGCCTGCATCCTTGCATGTCACTCTTGGGGTTGGTTCAGAGTTGTATTCAGTTTCAGTTCAATTCAGTTCAAATGGGGGCGACTGTGGTTCAGTGGGTAGAGCGGTCGTCTCCCAGCCAGAGGGTTGGAGGTTTAAATCTTGGTGCCAGCAGTCCACATGTCGAAGTGTCCTTGGGCAAGACACTGAACCCCCAAGTTGCCCCGATGGTTAAAGCCATCAGTTGAGTTGGCGCCACAGATGGCTGTCATCGGTTCTGTACCGGGAACAAATTCACTGTGTAACATACTTGGCCAATAAAGGTGATTATTATTATTCTGTTTTATTTGTATAGCACCACATTGCAACAGAAGTCGTCTCAGGACACTTTGCAAAGTCAGGTCTAGACCTTACTATTATTAATATTGTGGAGGGAAAATCCCAAAAAAGATTGAAGGCTGGTGAATTTTGAATCTTAAGTGGAATTTCTGTTGTTTGACATCTTGCTATTGAAATCACTGAAACTGCGACTGGGGCAGCATAAGGAGAACTAAACCTCTCTTCAGACCATGAAGGGGGAAAGACACTCCTGTTTCCATTTCAGTGATACTGATTAGAGCGGATCTCAGACCACTGTCAAACTAAAGATGTGCTTCCTTCACGGGTTGTTGACTCATTGAGGTTATTGCTATAATTGTCTGTCTTTTATCCAGATGGAGGTAACACAACAGTCATTTTTGCCACCATTTTTGTGAGTGTAACTTCATTCGGCTGATAAGAATTTTGTGGATCTTTCAGTCTTAGTGTTGTCAGAAGTCAAACTAGAGTCATCCGTCTGTAAAAAAATAATTTCTTTTGCCTAAGAACAATTTCACACTGCGTTCCCTGTTGTTTGACATTTTCATA